TTGATGATTAATTGCTTTTTGGTTGAAGTTTGCGAGAATTGACAGGTTTGACGTTTGTGGTGTCTGGGTGGTCTGTTGCAACATTTGGAGGGTAAAATAAAAAATTTTTAAATTGTTTTTTGAAGGTGCGGTAAAATACAAAAGAGAGTCAAAAGGTTTTGGTGGGATGTGAAAATGAGGTAAAATCATAAAGAAATGAATTTTTTGGATGGCTATATATTTTTGATTAATAATAAAAGCCCTTTATAACATTTTAAAAAATAAAATCCCCAAGCGGAATCGAACCTTCACCGTCGTGTTTTTTCGTATGCGGGAATCTTATCCATTCGGGCATAGGGATGTACTTAAATTTGAAAAATAATCGGATAAATTATAAAAATTAATTTCTTTGTGTATTTTGGGGGAAGGGATGGGGTGGAGGGTTTTAAAAATTTTTAAAATTTCGTTTTTAAAATTTTAAAAAATTTAAAATTAAAATGTGAATTCTTGAAAATAATTAAAAAATTAAATTAAGTTTAAAAAATTAAATAAAATTGATAATAAAAATTATTACAAAATTTTGACAAAAATAAAACGATTTTAAAAAATGAGCGGAATTTTAAATTTAATGGGATTTATTTCAAAATACCAAATTTCAAAATTTGGCGGGAAATCAAAATTTAAAAAATGAAGGGAATTCAAATTTCAACATTTGGCAGGAATTCAAAATTTAAAAGTTGGAGGGGTTTTAAAATAAAAAAATTTTTTAAAAATGTTACATTTAAATAAAATTTAAATTAAATAAAATATGGAGGAAGAAATAGAATTTGCAAAATTTTACAAAAAATTTAAAATGATTTGCAAAAAAAGGGGTGGAAGTTCAAAAAGTAAGGGGATTAAGCAATTATTTAAAAATGTCAAATTTAAAAATGTCAAAACGACAAAATGTCACACTTCGAAATGTCAATTTTTGTGTCTAATTCCATTAATAAAAACCTTTAATTAATATTAAATTAATAAACACTCATTGTCAATCAAAATTTGAACACCATTAAATAATTTAAATTATTTTATTTTACAATTTATCCTAAATTTTTCTACTTAAAATTTTATTCTATAAATTTACGCAGCTTAATTTCGCATTTTCACTAAATAAACTTAAATTTATTTAAACTAAATATGGTTCATATTCCCTTTGATCCGCGAACAATCGGATACGACTGCAGACTCGGACACGAGGCCGCAGACTGTGAGCACCCATCGAAATGTTTGGGATGCTCAAGGGCACATCCTTTAGCGTTGTGCCCGAACCAGAAAATTCCACAACAGCCAAAATTTAAACAATCGGCTGGCGTTGGAAAACAAAACGGGTTTAAGAAAAAAAGGGACCCAAGAAAATATCAAACAGTCGAATGATGATGGGAAATTAAGCCATTATCAGAAAAAATGGACTCCGAACAAAGGGACTCCGAAAAAATGGAAAATAAAATCCACAAAAGTAACGGCGCCAGAAAAGCCGTCAATAGGTTTCAAATACTGCTTGTTAAAATGTGTACAAGCAAAAATGTTCAACCCAACATTTGGGAGACATAAAAAAGTATCCGGAACAATTTTTATTGATTCTGGAAGCCAAAGCAGCATGATCTCTGAGAGACTTGCAAAAGAATTAATGCTGAAGCCTCACTCATTCGAAAAATTAGAATTGAGAGGTGTAGGCCCACGAGATCTTGCCACTTCGTCTTATTCGAAGATGGTACAAGTTGGACTTGAAACTAGTAACGGACCAATGAATTTGGAACTTCTAGTCGTCCCAAGTGAACACCTCCCTCCGATGATAACAGTTCAAATCGGCGACCAAGATAAAGCAATTTTGGAAACCAACCCATTGGAGGTGAAGCATAGAATAGAAAACCCCGATGTACTAATTGGGGCCAAATATTTAAATGAATTGGAAATAGCAAAGATCCGCCAACTTCCCAGCGGATTCTGGCTTTCCAAATCAAATTTAGGTCCAATGCTGGATAGCGAAGGAGAACTAATTGCTTCGACAATTGTTTCACAATTGCCGGAACTAAATTGTGTTTGTCCTAAAATTGAAGCAAGAAACAACTGCCTTCACATTAGAAAGGTAGAAGTTAAGAGAAGCCATGGAAAGGCAATCCAAAAATTAAATAAAGAAGGGATTGCAGCCAAAAAACAAGGTGCGACCAAAAATAATTGGCCAAATCTCCGGCCCTGTGGTGGGAGGCTCGTCCCTTTAGCGGACGAAGATGCGCCCCAGAGCTTTAGGCGAAGGTGGCGAATTAAAAAATATAATGAAGATACCGCTAGAAAAGAAAATGCGGTATCGGAAAAAATGGAGAAACAACTCCACAAACAGTTCCACCCACCCGAAATCAAAAAAGGGCGAGAAAAAATAAATAATATTGGACTCCAACCGGTACGCCAAAAATCATATACCGGCGTATCAGAAAAAGAGCGTTCAATTCTACGCTGCAAGCAACTAACTCCTCCATTAGCGCTGGAAAGAAAATTAAACTCCAACTGTGCGAAAGTGATGAAGGAAGTTAAATACAGGAAAGAAAAACAACGAACAGGAGAAGCGAAGTCGCCGGATCCACAACATTCTCGTGGATTACGGTTCGAAAATTCATCAATCTGTGAAAACAACAGAGGTGAAGGAAAAATACAACCGCAAAGTAAAAAGCGGAAGTATTTGAAAATAAAATCCCCTTTAATCAAAGTAGAATTAATTGGGAAAAGAAAAAAGTTGTACTGCCTGAAAAAGAAGGCAACAACAAACAATAGGAACAATTCTGTAGCTAAAAGATGCATCAGAAAAATGATATTCCCACGGTCTTCGAAACCCGGACCAGCTTTTTAGCTGTTCTGGGAATTCTTGCGCTGGTAACACTGGGAGTTTTGACCGTCCACACTAGAAATGTAGCAATTAAAGGTGTGGGAGAAGTATGGGCATGGGTCTTTAGCCTTCTGTCCATCCTGTTCCTTCTCATTAAAGAAGCGAACAGCCTGAGCATGGCAGCAGTATCCACGGCTGGCTCTTTTAGAACCACTCGTGTGCCAAACCATATACTAGCCTCAACATTCAGAGGCAGGATGGAATTAAATCGGGGGGTAAGCAGCGCTCCTAACCGTCACCAGAACGGCTGGGTTTGGCAACCTGGACCTGCTGATGGAAGAGAAGCAAGAGAACAAAAAGACGAGCCGAGCGCACAGCAACATCAGGGCCTGTGTTGGGAGTGTTGTGAAAACAAGGGAAAATGAGGAAAATAAAATATAAAATTATTAATTATTATTTTATTTTTATTTTTCCATTTTATTAAAACATTTTTTAGTAATTAGTTTTCCCAAGCATTACACTTAATTGCTCATTCCAATCGCTTCCGCTCATATTTTCTATGTTCCTTCTCTTTATCTCCTTTTCTGCTTTTTTCCCGCTTGGCTCTTATATAAAGAAAAGCCAAACAATTATTAATCACTCTTCTTTGAACTCTTCTGAGAACAGTCAATTTTCTAGGATTTCTTCTCCTAAGCTTTTATTATTATTAAAATAATAATTTATTGAATAAATATCTAATTTATTTAAAGAACTCTTCTAATTTAATTCGAGGGAATTATTTAGGGGTAAAAATTGCCGACAATACTTATCTTCTGGTATTGTCGTAGCTTGAAAAGATTACCTTTTCTTTTCATCTAAATTATGGAATATCTATCATATACATATTGGATCATATAATAATATACATATTGGGCCTATATAAGAGCTCTAGGAGGAGCTGACAGAAGGCAACAAAATCAACATGGTTCTATTATTCTGAAAAAAATTAAAACCTTTTTCCCAATTAGGGGTGGGTGGGGGAATTTCCCATACCCCTCTGAAAATTTTCGTTTGCCCAGCTAAAAGAGTACGAGCTAATTTTTCTCGTACTCACCACTGAATTTGGCCTGACTTGTACTTCGTACCTTAAGTGGGTAGGCACACATTGGAGCGTCGTAGATGAAAATTTTTAAGCTGTAAGGCGAAGAAACCAGAGTTCTTCATTCTAGCGCCGCAGGCGAAAATTTGAGAATTTCAATTATTTAACAGCCAGGTTTCTTCATTATTTTAGCGCCGCAGGCGAAAATTTTTAAAATTTTGAAAGGCCGAAAGCGAAAAAAATTCACTTTCTCTGTAACGCATGCTAGAATTTTGGGATGGATATCCGCGGATTTGAAGCATCATATCCGTATCCATCCGTATCCGTCCAATTTTTTAAAAAACACTATCCATATCCATCCGTATCCGCGGATATCCGCGGGTATCCGGATATTATCCGTATCCGTGAGCAGGTCTGATTTTAACAATATTAGATCATTACTCGATTCTGAATTATATTTTTTAAGGAATCTTCTCAAGGGAAATGTTATGTTTTTGCCGGTAAAGTGTTTTGTCATGTAGTAAAGGATTTATTGGGTCATTTCATTTATAACGTATTTTTATCTATAATAATTAATCTTTAATATATCTTAAGGGTTAATGAATTAATGAATCACCAAGTAAATACATAAATAAAACTGCTTATTTTTGAATCTTATGCATAATTTTGTGATATGAAGATAAAGAATCCATAAAAAATTGTGTATATATGTACTTTGCGGTTTTTGCGTTAATTAACTATTGCCTTATATTTATATAAAACGTATGATATAATACATAAATAAAAAAATTTATCTAGCTAAAAATATATATCGATTTAATAAAATTTGATACAAAGCCTAAGATTGAAATAATGTTAAAGCCCACGAACTTTAAATTTGCAACCAAATAGACCCAAATAATAAAATAACTATCAAAATTTTAAATCCCCTTTAAATAATCCCTTTTTTACCCTTTCAAAAATGAAAGAATATTTTTTTAATTTTTTCTTCAATTTCATCTATATTTTTGTTGAAATAAAACCCATCTTTTCCATATTCTCTGAAATAAAATTAAGAAAAAATAAGAATTATTTTAAAATTCTTTATCTAAAATTCTCACAATGATTTCCCGAATCTTCACTTGAATAAACTGTAAATTTCTGAGGATGTGATGAAGATGCCTTTTTATTTCGTCTATTGGGCTTCGGGCCTCGTACAGTAATCCAATCTAAAAATATAAATATTTCAATGCCATAATATCACTCTATACCTTGAGGAATCTCTTCTGCATTTTCTTCATCAAAAATTTCTTTCATTCTCTGGTCAACATCTTGTTGATAATTATCCAAGAAATATACATAATTGTCAACAGGTGTTTGTTCCTCAGTGATTAATTCACAATTATGTTCAGTCGGCGGATTGTCAAAATCAATTCTGTAAGCATTTACCATATTGTTTGAATGGATTGCTGGTGGACACTTGATTTCTTTCTTAATATAGTAAAAATTTATTTTAATATATTGAGCACAAATGGTCATTAATAACTCGTTAATCATCACTGTTGTGTCCGCATATAAATGAAAATAAATAACCTAGCATCGGGTTGGATGATGACACAGTCGGTTTAGCAACGGTTTGGGCTCGATCCGTAATGGTTCTATTCCATCCCCCATCCAATGTATTTTTCCACAGCACGTATATGCACAATAATCACTTATAAGATGACCTATTGAAGAATAAAAGCTCTGAACCAGGACCCAGAAATTCTAATTTTATAATAATTAATTCAAATAATTCTAACAATTAGAAATTTTTTGATATATTGAGGAGGATGGTTGTGCTCAACAGTTAGATATTCGTCCGATATGTTGTTGTTAGCATCGGCATGAATTATCGCTCTACATTTGGTATCCTTAGACGTATATTTTGAACAAGGGCATGCTGATAATCCTGTTGAAAGTTCTCGTTTATAACCAAAAATGTACCCATTATATTTGATTGCTGTTGTGTGACTTCTTGTTTCCGTTAGTTCTATCTAAATTTTTCGAGTTTTAAAAAGAAAACTGGTATAAATGGGATTTTAAGCATTTTTTAACCTTGTGCTCAACCATTAGAGTATATTCATCATCTGGACAAATAAATGTTTTTACATAATTTGTTGATTTATATTGTCCACTTCCCTCCTCATCATTTACAATATTATTAAAATTGGCTACAAAGTTTGAATTATACATGTCTTTGCATCCAATCTTTAAATTAGATTTTTGATTAGATTCCATAGGGCTAGGCCAAACAAAAAGCAAAACTCGAAGATTATTAAACAAATAAATCATATTGTCGAAGAAGTCTTCCTCTTCTTCAACTTTTATGTATTTAATATATTTTGTATTGTCTTTGCGAGGAATGATGTAAATTATTGAATCATTTTCTATTTCATTAATGGTGCCAATGTCCAACTGAAAGAATATTTTTTAAGCTTAGGCTTCTAAATTGAAAAAGAATCCATTCATAGCCCTTCCCCAGAGGAAGTAGAAGGATTCTCCATTCCTTACACCTACATTGATAAGTCCACAAATTGTTATTTGCAATCTATAAGAGCCTTCATTTAAATCATCAAAGTGAAATGTATCGTTTATGTCTGTCAGTCCAATAATTGGATTGTCAAGGTGATCTCCAGTCAATTCCAATTTAAACCGTTCGTCATCTTCTCTCGCCAACCGTTTGTAATAATTTTCGTTATTTTCACCATTTTCTCGCCAAGAAATCTTTACAAAAATCGAATAGGGACTAACAAAATTAAAAAGGGAATTGAAGAAAATGAAGAAAAAGAATAACCACATTCTCTAAACAGAAATAGAAAAATTTTAATTGAAGATTTTCGAATGTATATAAAAATTCATAGAAATTGAAAAAATGTAACATAAAAAAGGGGGGCGTAATCCGAAGAATTACCCAAAAAAATGTATTTTTTAAATTTTAATAAATTAAAATCAAAATTTTAAATATGTAATGTAGTGACAATAGGGGTGGGCTTTGTCTCTAGAGATACCTTATAGAAGTGGGCTTCTAGAGATCGGACCAAACAAATATTTGACGTTGGAAAATCAAATATTTGATCAAATTTTATTTGATCGAATATATGTTTGACTATTTAATTTTCCCAAAAATTCAATTTTTTGGCTAAAAATGGTGAAAACTTGTTAACTTAGCATCGTATTTTTTTACAAATTTTGCCTGCGTCGCTTAAGATCCTCCCACCATTATAGCGTCTTAAAAAGTAAAAAATTTTTCACGGTTTTTTTGAAGATATTTATCGAATATTACATTAAGTGATATCCAGTTTAAGTTATAGATTAAATGATATAGAGGAAATAATGGAGGGATTTCGAGAATTTTTGTAGGAATTTTAGAGGTGGTGATGTTGGGGAACTTCGTTATTATATCTCGTTGTTATATTAAAAGGGATATCAGGGAAGAGAGTGATATATGGTAAGTAAAAGTTATATATCGATGGATATCGGTGGATTTAAAGGATATCGGTGGAATTGGAGAGATGGGATTTGTCGTTAAACCGAAAAGGGGATTTGTCGTTAAACCGAAAAGTTTCAAAAGGAGGTGAATAATTATGAATCAGACTGGATGATTTTTGGTTGTTTTTCATTATTTATAGTAGGGTAGCACAAAACGGTATACGGTAAACGGGTTTTTACGGTAAACGGGTTTTTTGGTAAAATTAAACGAAACGGTATACGGTCCTTCTAAACGGTGTTTAATTCGTTTAATTTTTTTCTAGAATTAAGGGAAGAAATCTAGCTTGTTGGCTCCTCAATTATCAAAATTTTCGCCTGCGGCCCAGAAAAAGAAGAATTCTGGCTTCTTGGCCTTTCAAAATTCTCAAAATTTTCGCCTGCGGCGCTAAAAATAGTGGAAATCTGTCTTTTGGCTTTCCAAAATTCTCACAAATTTCGCCTGTGGTGCAGAAAAAGGAAAATTTTTGGCTTAATCTTCCAAAATTTTCAAAATTTTAGCTTGCGGCGCTGAAAATGACAAAATTTCTGCGTGGTTTAATTTCTAATTCGTAAAGACAAAATATTCAGACACTGCTTATTTCAAAAAAATACGGTTCGGTCACGGATATCCGAAAATTTTCAATTGGTTTCGGATATCAAAAAAACTTGCAGAATTTGTAATTTTTATAAAGGGGCTTGTTTCAATGATGGGCCTGTTCAACCTCAATCCTCCGATATATATTCAAATCCTCCAAATCTCTAAACCCACTGATATCACTCTTAATCACCAGGCATCTCTTCAGCCCTTCCTTATCCTCTAAATCTACTCTAATAAGTTTTTTCAATTCCCTATGACAGAACATAGTTGTATCCTAAAAGTTATATTCATAATTATGGAAAAGGGCAAATACATTAAATAAAAAATATTTCTTATAAATATAAATTTTTCCTTAAAAATATTATTTAGCAAATAATAAAAAAAAATTCAAAATTTAACTCATTAAAATTACTCTATACGACTCCCCTTTCTTCATCCCCTCTCCTCCTCATTCTCCCTTCCCCTCCCTTCCCTCTCCTCCTCCTTATTTTAATTTAAAATGCCATTTAGTGAAATTATCAATAAAACGTGGAATTTAATAAATTTTGATTAAACGTTGGGGGAGGAGGAGAGGAAGGGGAGGGGAAGGGAATGGAATGGAGGAGGAGAGGGATGAGGAGAGTGAAGGGGGGGGGGGTATAGAGGAGTCTTCCCCTCTCCTCCTCATCTACACCTCTTACCTTACCCTCCCCTCTCCTCCTTTATCTCCTCCTCCTTATTTTAATTTAAAATGAGACTTTCTCTTCGAGAGACCTCTCTTCTCCTCCCCCCAACGTTTAATCAAAATTTATTAAATTCCACGTTTTATTGATAATTTTACTAAATGGCATTTTAAATTAAAATAAGGAGGAGGAGAGGAAAGGGAGGGGAAGGGAAGAGAAGGGAAGGGAAGGGAAGGAGATGAGGAGGAGAGGAGTTGAAGAGAGGTGGAGTGGTATTGAGAAATTTTAATGAGTTAAATTTTGAAATTTTTTTTATTATTTTTTAAATAATATTTTTAAGAAAAAATTTTTATTTATAAGAAATATTTTTTATTTAATTTATTCGTGACCGGACAATCCGTCAGTGGTCGGACAATCGGTCAGCGGACAATCGTCAGGGAACAAATTCATAATTCCCACCCATATCCAAAATACCGCGGCCAAAATTTTTAGGTTATAAAAGATAACGAAAATATGGAAATTAATGAGGAAAATCGCAGATTTAGCTGGATTAAAAGAATATCAGTGGATTTGGTAGTCATTGGGGATGGATATCATGGAACAATCTCCAAATCATTTTAATCCACTGACGGATTGTCCGGTCACGAATAAATTAAATAAAAAATATTCCTTATAAATAAAAATTTTTTCTTAAAAATATTATTTAAAAAATAATAAAAAAAATTTCAAAATTTAACTTATTAAAATTTCTCAATACCACTCCACCTCTCTTCAACCCCTCTCCTAATCCCCTCTCCTCCTCATTCCCTTCCCCTCCCTTTCCTCTCCTCCTCCTTATTTTAATTTAAAATGCCATTTAGTAATATTATCAATAAAACGTGGAATTTAATAAATTTTGATTAAACGTTGGAGGGAGGAGAAGAGAGGTCTCTCGAAGAGAAAGTCTCATTTTAAATTAAAATAAGGAGGAGGAGATAAAGGAGGAGAGGGGAGGGTAAGGTAAGAGGTGTAGATGAGGAGGAGAGGGGAAGACTCCTCTATACCCCCTCACTCTCCTCATCCCTCTCCTCCTCCATTCCCTTCCCCTCCCCTCCTCTCCTCCTCCCCCCAACGTTTAATAAAAATTTATTAAATTCCACGTTTTATTGATAATTTCACTAAATGGCATTTTAAATTAAAATAAGGAGGAGGAGAGGGAAGGGAGGGGAATGAGGTGGAGAGGGAGATGAGAAGAGGGGATGAAGAAAGGGGGAGTCGTAATAAGAAATTTTAATGAGTTAAATTTTGAATTTTTTTTATTATTTGCTAAATAATATTTTTAAGAAAAAATTTTTATTTATAAGAAATATTTTTTATTTAATGTATTTGCCCTTTTCTATAATTATGAATATAACTTTTAGGATACAACTATCTTCTGTCACAGGGAATTGAAAAAACTTATTAGAGTAGATTTAGAGGATAAGGAAGGGCTGGATTCCTGGTGATTAAGAGTGATATCAGTGGGTTTAGAGATTTGGAGGATTTGAATATATATCGGAGGATTGAGGTGGAACAGGCCATCATTGAAACAGGCCCCTTTATCAAAATTACAATTTCTGCAAGTCTTCCTGATATCCGAAACCAATTGAAAATTTTCGGATATCCGTGACCGGACCGTATTTTTTTGAAATAAGCAGTGTCTAAATATTTTGTCTTGACGAATTAGAAATTAAACCACGCAGAAATTTTGTTATTTTCAGCGCCGCAGGCTAAAATTTTGAAAATTTTGGAAGATTAAGCCAAAAATCTTCCTTTTTCTGCGCCGCAGGCGAAAATTTTGAGAATTTTGAAAAGCCAAGAAGCCAGAATTCTTCTTTTTCTGGGCCGCAGGCGAAAATTTTGATAATTGAGGAGCCAACAAGCTAGATTTCTTCCCTTAATTCTAGAAAAAAATTAAACGAATTAAACGCCGTTTAGAAGGACCGTATACCGTTCCGTTTAATTTTACCAAAAAACCCGTTTACCGTAAAAACCCGTTTACCGTATACCGTTTTGTGCTACCCTACTATAAATAATGGGAAACAACCAGAAATGATCCAGTCTGATTCATAATTATTCACCTCCTTCTGAAACTTTTCGGTTTAACGACAAATCCCCTTTTCGGTTTAACGACAAATCCCATCTCTCCAATTCCACCGATATCCTTTAAATCCACCGATATCCATCGATATATAACTTTTACTTACCATATATCACTCTCTTCCCTGATATCCCTTTTATTCCTCAGAATATAACAACGAGATATAATAACGAACTTCCCCAACATCACCACCTCTAAAATTCCTACAAAAATTCTCGAAATCCCTCCATTACATCCTCTATATCATTTAATCTATAACTTAAACTGGATATCACTTAATGTAATATTCGATAAATATCTTCAAAAAAACCGTGAAAAATTTTTTACTTTTTAAGACGCTATAATGGTGGGAGGATCTTAAGCGACGCAGGCAAAATTTGTAAAAAAATACGATGCTAAGTTAACAAGTTTTCACCATTTTTAGCCAAAAAATTGAATTTTTGGGAAAATTAAATAGTCAAACATATATTCGATCAAATAAAATTTGATCAAATATTTGATTTTCCAACGTCAAATATTTGTTTGGTCCGATCTCTAGAAGCCCACTTCTATAAGGTATCTCTAGAGACAAAGCCCACCCCTATTGTCACTACATTACATATTTAAAATTTTGATTTTAATTTATTAAAAGTTAAAAAATAAAATTTTTTTGGGTAATTCTTCGGATTACGCCCCCCTTTTTTATGTTACATTTTTTCAATTTCTATGAATTTTTATATACATTCGAAAATCTTCAATTAAAATTTATCTATTTCTGTTTAGAGAATGTGGTTATTCTTTTTCTTCATTTTCTTCAATTCCTTTTTTAATTTTGTTAGTCCCTATTCAATTTTTGTAAAGATTTCTTGGCGAGAAAATGGCGAGAATAACGAGGATTATTACAAACGGTTGGCTGGAGAAAATGGTGAACGGTTTAGATTAGAATTGACTGGAGATCACCTCGACAATCCAATTATTGGATTGACAGACATGAACGATACATTTCACTTTGAGGAGCAGAATATTTACGGAGATAATTTTAAATTGAAGATAACAATTTGTGGACTTATTAATGTAGGTGTAAGGAATGGAGAATCCCTCTTCTTTTCCGGAAGGGAGATGGATGGATCCTTTTCAATAGAAACTTAAGGTTAAAAAAATATTCTTTCAGTTGGATATTGGCACGATTAATGAAATAGAAAATGATTCAATAATTTACATCATTCCTCGCAAAGACAATACAAAATATATTAAATACATTAAAGTTGAAGAAGAGGAAGACTTCTTCGACAATATGATTTATTTGTTTAATAATCTTCGTGTATTTGTTTTTGTTTGGCCCAGTCCTATGGAATCTAATCAAAAAGTTAATTTAAAGATTGGATGCAAAGACATGTATAATTCAAATTTTGTAGCCAATTTTAATAATATTGTAAATGATGAGGAGGGAAGTGGACAATATAAATCAACAAATTATGTAAAAACATTTATTTGTCCAGATGATGAATATACTTTAATGGTTGAGCACAAGGTTAGTTTTTGTCCAAAGTTTTTTCCAGTTAGACGTAAGAAAAATTCGACCAAAATTCAACATCGTATTTAGATGTAAGTATGATAGATCTGTTATGATTACGAGCAAATCTGAAATTTAGAATTTTCCCCTTATTTGATCCCCTGAATATTTAGAGGGGGATCAAATCACCCTGTCATTATTAGAAGCAATTATAGAAAAATTTTTTATAATATTTATATTCAAATTTTAATACTAAAAATTTAGGTAGAACTAACAGTTACTAAATATCGCCACACAGCGATGAAATATAATGGTTATATTTATCATTATGGTCAAGATCTTTTAACTGGATTAATAGCATGGCGCTGTTCAAAATGGTCGCACAGAGAACTTAAATGTAGAAAAAGAATTCATGCTGATTCTAATCACAACGTAGCTGATGAATTTCTAGCTGTTGAACACGAACATCCTCCAGAATATGAAAAAAATTATGAAATTGTTAGGAATAAGTTTTATAAAATATACATTTTTACCATTCCCATATGTATTTTTTTGACTTTCTTTCCTAATATCTTTAATGGATTTAAGATAACTTATTAGGGCTTAAGGTATGGGCGGCATGATAGAAACGATGTAGGTAGGTATAACAACGAGGTATAAAAACGAGGCGGTATTATAACAACGAAATTTGGAGAGAAAAACCTGATAAATGTTTATATTGAAAGGAAAATTCTAAACTTATAAAAAAATTTTATATCAAAAAATTAAACACATTCTAATCATGAGAAAATATTTTTTGTAATTTTTAAGTTAATTTTGGATTTTTATAGTATGAATTTTTTAAAGAAGCGTATAAAATTTGAACAATCATCCAATGAGGATTAAAAGTTTCCCTCATCAGCGAGCAAACCGTTCCTCGCGTGTCCGGACAATGCGTCAGTGGACAATGCTGATTGGAAAATGCGTCAGTGGACAATCGGTCAGTATTGATATAAAGTGATTAAAAGTGATGATGTAAAGAGATAAAAAATGATATAAAAAATAAAGATGGCATATAAACAGATTAGGAGTATTAAAAAAGAGATTTTGTGGATTAAAAAAATATAGAGGGATTTGTTGGGATTAAGGCCGATATCTCGGGTTTGGGAGGATTAACAGAGATATTAAGTTATTTGGTTGGATTAATACGGAGATCAGCCTATTTGGAGGGATATCAGTGAACTTTTATCTCTTTATGTCATCACTTTTAATCACTTTATATCAATACTGACTGATTGTCCACTGACGCATTGTCCGGGAGCCGTTCCTCGAATCCGGTTATGTTATCTTATCTCCATCAACCTCAGATAATATATTAAAATAAATTTTTATCGTACATATAAAGAAAGAAATGAAATGTCCACCACCAATTCATTCAAACAATATTGTAAATGCTTACAAAATTGATTTTGATAACGAAAATAATTGCGAATTAATTCCTGATGAACAAACAAATGTTGACAATTATTTTTATATATTAAATAATTATCAAGTATTTGTGGATAAAAAAATGAAAGAAATTTTTGATGAAGAAAATGCAGAAGAAATTCCCGCAGGTACTCATATAATAATATTTACATATATTAGTTTGGATATGTTTTTTGTTTATAGATTAAAATAACCTTAAAATTTTACATTTTTCAGATTGGATTGAAATTCCAAAAAAAGGTTTGCTATTGGTATGATAGATCAGCCATTTATATAATAGATCAGCCGGATAATAGTCCCAAAATCCCATGTAATAGACCTAAACTTCCATCTTTTTAGGACAGTAAATGTTATGTACGTGACTTGTATGTCTACGTAGTAACAAGAATAACAAGATAAGAAAGTAACTAACAACTGTGCTTTATCTACAAGACTACGAACAATAAGAATATGGCCGACGCCGAATATGTGGAGCACTAGAATAAGACTAAGAATAACACTAGCTAACAGATACTAAACCCCGAATGGCTAAAGCCGCAGCCTTTTATATTAAGCCAGGGTTCCGATTCGTGCTTTAATTGAAAGTATTCTACTTTGAAAGCGACCTCCATACTTACGAAATTGAATTTATACTTTATTGAAAGTATATACTTTGAAATCAGCATTTTTGATTGAAAATGAAATTGGGGAAGGGATTGGGCAAATAAGTGAATTTTTTTAGCCTTGGGCCTTCGAAATTCTCAAAATTTTCGCCTGCGGCGCAAGAAATGGAAGAAATTTGGCTTAAGGACTTCCAAAATTCTCAAAATTTTCGCCTGCGGCGCAAAAAATAGATTTTTTGGCACCTTCGGCGCCACAAAAGGTGCATTGAAATTGACAAAAATGCTCAGTTGAAACAAGAAATTATTAGAAAAGATTCATTTAGGAGAGAAATATAAAAGATTTGAGGACGAATAAATATTTTCTAATTTAATTTTGAGACTACTTTAAATTTGGAAATTTTCTCCCTATATACTTTTAAATCGAGATTTTTATACTTTTGGTTGGCATTTTGTCGATCGGAACCCTGTATTAAGCCCATACCCAACAGTAAACTAACGGGATTTATCTCGGTTGTATGACACTCATATTAATGTCACATACTTGATAACATAAAAAATAACGTTATTAATAGAAACTTAGTACAATATTATCTAGAAATTCTTCTTATTATTAATGATGCGTTATGATTAAGTGACCCTGATCAGGGAAGTCATTATCGCTAGAATTTAATTAATTGATAAGAGATTAATAACAGTATTGCCAAATATCTGTTTAATATTATAGGACGTCGGAAAGGCAAATCGCATCAAGGATCTTCATCACATCAACCACACCATCCTCAAAAATTCACAATTTATTCGAGCGAAGATTCGGGAAATCATTGTGAGAGTTATAGTTAATTTTAATACACATTAGCTATAAATTAAATTTTATTTAAGGAAAGAAGTGGATGATGGAGCTTTTCTAAACAGGGTTAGAAGTAATTTAAGCGAAATTAAAGAAAATTTTTTTTGAAATGGTATACAACGTATATTTAAAAGGGATTTAAATTTATTTAAAGTTATTTTGGTATTTGGGTCTAGTAGTATTGATATTTTTAAATTTTGGGCAAAGCTGGTTTTTAACAAAAAATTACTATTTCAGTTGTGGGTTTCATTTCAATCTTTATTGATAATAGTTTTATATTATCAATTTTTATTTTGTTTTTTAACTTTAGTCTAGATAAGAAAATTTTTAACTATGCTATATTGTGTTTTAACTTATAGTATAATATATTTATTTTGTCTTGAATTATTGTCATAATTACAGAAAATATTAATTTTTGTACAATTTATTATTGTCCTGAATCCTAAAAATAGGTCCTGCTGACATTTTTCAGCTCAAATCCTATCATTTGGCATATATGATTCCTGATACATATTTTAATGATTCCTGATAATAACTTGATTTCCTATATTTGAAACTTTTGAGCTGGGCTTAGAAGTTTTTTTCCACGTTTAAATTTCACTTTTAAGTTCCACACCTAGCATTTCTGGCACATCCTGTTTAGGGTTCGAGTATAAAAAATTTCTTAAATGCCTTATCTAGTTATGTTCGGTGGTCATATAGTGTAGTCTTGGCTTAATTTCAGTTGAGAACCATGACGAGATTCTAGATCTTCAAGGAAAAATCATGGTCTGTGCCAGATCCAGGCCTAGCTCTATTTCTTAGATATTTCTTTATCAGTTTAAACGATCATTTTAAAATTTTATTTTTTCATTGAACGGAAAGAGAAAATAAATATTAATGTTAATGAATCATTAATACAAAACTAATTTTAATTTAACGTTTCCCTTGATCAAATGATTAGAATTATAGCACATAGAAATGGAAGAGATATAATTTTAATCATCTGACCAAGAGAAATTTTAAACAAAAATTAAAAATAAATTCCAATTTTGTATTAATGATTCATTAAAATTAATATTTATTTTCTCTATCCGTTCAATGTAAAAATTAAAATTTAAATATAGTGTCAATAAACACTATTAAATCACATTTTTTATTTTATATTTAATTTATCCAAAGTATATTTTTATTTAAAAAATTCCAATTTTTTTATTTTTAATTTATTTTCAGTTTGTTTTTGTGATGAATTTGCTTTTTATTTTATTTTTATTTATATTTTTGAATGAGGTTTTGGTGTCCGGCACGGTTAATCTTGCCCAGAGAAAGTCCAAATGGAGAACCGTTTTTAGTAATAAAACATGCTCTACCGAAACATTTCCATGCCCCGAAATTTTGAATTTGTTGAAGAAAGTAAATAAATGTAATGGGTAAGTATTGCCATTTTGGATGAATTAAAATTGATCTGAGGGGTAATTTGGGAAGTTAATAATTTTAAGATTGGGCTAGAATAATCGGAGGTGTTTGAATTTCGAACTAGAAAAAAGCAAAAATCTGAACTTTTAGATCTGAACTTTTAGAAAATCTTAGAAGGTTGAAGAGGTGCCTCAATTAGTACATAAAGTGGTTGACGCGAAATAGGATCTTGGGTTTTATTCTGATGACCCCAAGCTCTCATCCCCGCAATTCGTTTGATGCTGGATTTTTCTCTTAAATCCGTTTCACTGCCTCTATAAAAATACCTCACCGGATTCTCAAACCAGATTTCTTAAACGGGGACAAATTACACAAATATATCTTTAAATCTATACTTTCTAATAATAAATTATAATTTAAAACAGACTCATCGTCTGTTACCCCTCCCTCCTCTCAAACGCTTATTTCTCGGAAAATACAAAGTTGAACAATCGTTTTACTTTTAATGAAACAAACACAACAAGGATTTGCGCCAAATGTATTGAAGGGAAACAATGCAAAGGACCGGAAGGAGTTGAAACTGAATGGAGCGGTTTTCGAGTGTTTTATGATGAAAAGGAAAATAGTCTTGAAGTAAATTTGGATATTTTTGGGAAAAGGTATGTGAAAAATACAGTCTTTTTAGATATCCTAAATTACGTATTCCTCAATTTAAAATGCGATTTCTAAATCTTCGCTGTCCCAATGATGATTGTAGGAGCATTTTAAGATTTTTAACAGCTACCCTAACTCGACCATATCCTTAAAATTGTTACCATTTTTTTCTGAAATTGTACATGTGTTAAAAATACTAAAATGAATCCTTTTGCAAAACGCCATTCTCTAGAGCATGTTATTTTAATAGAAGTTTGAAATGCATAATTTTTTCATACTATCAAGGGTTTATAAATGAGTTTAATCAGTATGAAAATTATAAAAAATTAATTTAAAAAATTTTTTAATAGAAATACTCTCCATATTAATGGATCGACTGCACTCGGTTTTCTTCAGGCATTATCAGACAAAAATCTTATATGTAATTTTATTAACAATTTTGTTTTTAAATTTATATAATTTTAAGCAAAAATAAGAGAACAGAGCAATGTAGACAAGGAATATTCTGAAGAAAAAGTTGGTGGGGCTTGGTTGGAAGATTATTTGGGTGTTTCGGCATTAAACATTGATTTGGGTATTGGATTTGGGTTGAATCGGGATATTGCTTTTGGAATGTTATACCGTCGAGATTACCCCATTAAATGCCGAAAAGAAAAGGTAGAGAGAATTTATTTTAGGTATAATCAAATGACAATTAAAGTGGAGATGGGCCGGATTATTAAATCAATCCAAGTCATTTTCGAAAGCCCGATCCAAAATCTTCTCCGTCTTCTTTATCTAAAAGTTACATCCTTTGTGCAGAAAAATTAAAAATTTTATCTAATGTAAAAGGTTACAATGTAGGCAAAAGTTGAGAGCAACGGATATATGATCAAATTAAACTGACACCTTTTATGTCTACCACATTACATTTTATATTTCAGAAAAAAGTTACAACAACGGCAATTATTATAAAACCGAGTACGGCCATGAATTCAAAACCTAAAGTCGGGATAACTACGAAAATACATAAGATAACGCCGATACCTAAGAAAACAAAAACGACAAGAGCTACTGCTGTTACAACGTATAAGCCTCGTTCTAGTACTGCATTCGCTCCGATTGTAGGTTTTACAATAAATTAGAAGGGATTTCGGCTAAGTAGCTAAAACGCCAAACCCGAACTTAAACTCAAAAATCAACCAAACGAGCTATACATATATTTAAAAATATTTTTATTGCAGGATCAGTGCAAATTGTTTAACGATGCAGAACTGATCGAGCGATATGCCTGCAAGTAAGTTTAAGAAACATTAATATTTCTTCGACATGATAACAGAAATGGATTAAAATTCATTTATATCTTGAAATAATATCCTTTTATGTAAATATTCACCAATAATTTTAATATTTTTAGTTGCGCTGACTTATCTATGCGAGAACTTAATGCGTATGTTATTTATTAAAATATACACGAATATTTTTAACTAAAAATTTAGTAGGTTGCAAAAGGAGTTTATAATCCAAAATTACTTAAGAATTGTTTAAGGTTACAAAATGTCCGAGTATTGTGATTAAGTAACTCCTTACCTTATTAGGGTTACTCAGTAGCTATTAATTAAGTTTAACTTCTTTAAATAAAATTTTCAATTCAAATTTTACTAAACAATCTAATCCAGGTGTTGTGAAAACTACCATAAATGCCTTTCAAAAATTAACGATATTATCAACAATAATTGTACTTTCTCCCCAAACATGTATTATATCTCAATTAATGTATCCAATTACAATTGGACGTGTAATGAATGTGTGTGGGTTCAAAATAGGCATTGCCAATATCAACAGTGCAAGTGTGATAAGTAAGTGTAGAGGAGAGGCAATTGTCAACTTTACAATTGCCAAAAAATCAAAAGACTTAAGAAATTCATTTTTAGGCAAGTTATTGAATGCTGGTCAAGAATCCCCGCTCCTAAGCATAATAAAAATGAATCAGTTAGCTGCGAAGCAAAATTTATCGATGAAGTCAAAGATAATCCAAATATTCCAATTGCTAATGTTACCAATATTCGCCGAAATAATGATAAAAGTTGGGAGAAACTAGATAAAATTGAAAAGGAAATTGAGACGTTAAAACATGATAGGCCAATGCAAAAATTTCTTGTTAAAACCCAACAGGCGGCTATAAAATACTCGGATGAGATTGATTTGGCATATGACAAAATGAATTCAACATTATATGAAGCTATATTTAAATTAAATGAAGCAATAAATAAAGCAGAAAAATCCAACGATGAAGAAGATTTAGTTGAAGTAGAAATTGCTCTTGACGAATTTTCAAAAACTTTACAGGCTGCAGTGACTTTTGATAATGAATACCAATGGGCTTATACTTCTATACTTACTGTTCATTTAAAAATAGATATGATTGTAGATTTGGCTACGGGCAAAGTTGAATAAAAATTTTTAAATTAATTAATTGAATCAAAATTAATTGTCTTATTTATAAAGCTGTGAAGTTAGGCAAGTAAAATCAAAATAGGCACCAAAAAGCCAAAAAAGGCACAAAAATAGGCATGTAAAAAAGGTTATCAAGCCTATATAATTAAAATAAAGACAAGAAAATACCCATTTATTCGTTATTTTTTGAATTATAAACTAATTATTAAACTTTTTTGGCATTTATTCGTCATTTTGAGTAATTTTTTGTAAAAAACTGTTAAAAATTTGATAATTGACAAAAGGGACATCTTGCCCAACCCTCAAAACGTCTCACCCCAAAATGTCCCAATACCAAAACGTCTCATCTCAAAATGTCCACAGAGTAAAAATACTTAATTCATCGGATTAAAGTTAAAAATTGGAGTTGTCACTGATTTTTTAAAATCTGGGGCTGATTTTTTTTAGATTTTGCACTGATTTTTAGGCGAAATTTAGGAAAAACGCTAAAATAGGCAAAAATAGTACCAAAATTTTCAAAATAGGCAAAAACGCTCAAAAAGTCCAAAATAGGCAAAAATATGCATATAAAAAGTCATGCTATACTCTTCTGACCATGTTAAAAACATGTTTTTTCAACGTTTTGAGTTGCGGTATGCGGGATTTACATATCTTTAGAAATCCTGCCCCTTAAAAGTTTAAAAAAAATACGCATGTAGTTTTATTGAGCGTATTCTTCGGCTGTATTTTAGTCATTAAATTATCCATCATCTCTAGAGAAGGGTATTTTGCCAATCTGGAGTTACTGTTTAACAATTGGACCTAAAAATAAATTTATCTCTACTATATCCTCTTTCATAATCTCTCCCACAGAAACAAGCCCTTTTTTTACAACAACCAACCAATTCCAAAGGATCTGCTCCAGCATTTAATATGATCATGTTCTAGGCAAAATTTTTGTATCAAGGGAAGAAACTTCCTCGAAATGTCTATCCTCCCAGCTATCAACAAAATATATATGAAAGTTTATTTTTAAATCTTCCTCTAGTGGGTCGGTTTATCTAATAGAGAGATTTGCACTACATATTAGAAGAAATACGGTATTTATAAGTTGTCTGAAATAATTTTATTCATCAATTTTTCAATCATTTCTAATTTAAATTTTGTAAATTAATTTTATATTTTAAAGCATTTTTTAAATTTTATAATTGATTAATTAATTTTTTTACAACTCTTTAAACAAATTTTAAAAATTAACGAGTCGATAACAGGGTTGCGTCGAATTAAAAAAATTTTTTCGTGACCGTAATTCGTAATTACGACGCTACTCTAGTCAATAATACACGTATATCTATATTCATTCAAAAATTTAATCAAGTCATGGATACAGATACATACATAAAAATTATAGAATATATCCCCCCTCCCCCTCCTATCGTCAACATTTTTAAATATTTGCCCTTCCCTTCATTATTATTTGCCGTTATTTATTCATATTAAAAATAGTTATACATATATTTATTAATTTATTTATATTTTTAACAAAATTTAAAAATACTCTCATTCGGCATTTTTTGTAAAATTAGGTTTTTGCCATTTATAAAAATTATATTTAATTTTCTAAAATGTTCTCCCAAAATTAAAAAATATATAAATTTAGCTATTTAAATGATTTATTTAAATGCTTTAACTTTTCTTTTGTTATTTTCTAAATGCTTTGGAAGTGGAAATGATGATGATGATTTTAATCGTCATATTAGAGATTTTCACGATCAACCAATTTATAGTCCAGATAATAGTCCAGAATGGTTTAATCCTCCGGTTTGTTATTTAAAATTATAACAGATTACTTACTATTAACTGACTCAACTCTTATTTTCGGTTAACCCGCGAATTCTAAATTTTGTTTTATAAAAATATTCAAAAAATTAATTATAGGAAAGCAATTATCATAACTATGGATATGGTAAATAAATTTTTAAAAATTCTAAATGTTTTTAAGCATCAATGAATAATAAAATAAAATTTAACTAAAATGTTTAGATAATTTTAATCTGTGGGAACATAACCAACAAATCCCCCATCAACATCCCCCTCAACAAATCCCGCAACAAATGTACAACGAAGATTATCACCCTCAAACCTCGCTTCATCATCAACAACCAATATATCATCAACCCCCACACTATCCTTATACACAATTTCCAACAATTCCAAGTCAAGGTGAATCCTCTTCAATGCCTAGTAATTTACAAAACAATCCAACTGAAATAGAAAACGAGAATCAAAAATACCTTTTGGTAACACAAGAAATGATTAATCAAAGAGAGGAAGGTCAGTTAAAAAAAGGGCGCATGCATTAATTCTGTCATTATTCACTTTAGTTATTATGGTATAGAAAATCCTGTATTTTAATTAAACAGGGCTCCGATTTATACTTATTTCGGAAGTACAGGACTTACGACCCAAAGTTCCTACGCACAAAATTGAAATAAATATATTTTTGAGTATACATATCAGGGATCGCACCGACCCGATTCACGATTCCCGAAAATCGTGAATTCCCGACGATGTTTGGCTCGAGAATTCGCGATTCCCGAAAATCGGGAATTTGATTTTCTGTCGGCGCGTTCCCTGTTGTATATGTATGGACTTTTTATTTTAACCTCAAAATTGTCAAAAATATGTCTGCGGCACAAAAATACTTAAATATACAGTACTCACTGGATTTAATTATGTTATAGGACAGATTTTTTAAATATAAATTAAAAAAAACATATTTAGAGGAAAAAAAATATGACGCGATAAAATATCAAGAAGCGGAACTGACAAATATGGAACAACTGATTAACAACATTCATTCTGAGGAGGGCATTGACAAAGGATTTTCTTTAAATTCTCAAGAAATTACAGGTTTTGTGTCAGTTTTGTTAAAGAGGGATACATAATCTGCTCTATTTCTCTTGCAATGAGACCAACCAGATTTTAAATATTACTTATATGTAGGGATGGTAGGGATGACTCGTTGGGTTCTGAAAGTCCAAAAAACATGTTTTTAGCATGTGGCGATAAGGCTGTTTTTGAGTTATCAATCCATATTTTCCATATTTTATCCATATTTCGTCATTTTTTGTAAAATTTTAACAAAAATTGGTTAAAATTTTCAAATTTATGAAATTTTTGGTCAAAAATTTTTACAAAAAACTTTTTTGAAAAAATTTTTTCGAAAAATTTTTGAAAAATTTTCGACTCAAATATTATCAAAATATTTTTAGAAACAAAATAATCACTATTAATTAGTTTATTTGTAATAATTTGCATCAAAATTAACTTAATTAATATTTTCTGCTTTAAAATGAAAATTTTTTCGCTAAAAATTTTCAGTTTTCGGCCCATATTTGATCCATATTTTGTATTTTAGTCCATATTTCAGTCCATATTTTGAGATTTTTAGTCCATATTATATGTCAATATTTTTCGATTGATAGTCCATATAAATCCCATCCCTACTAATAATTAAATTGATAAAAACAAAAAAAATATTTCCTTTAAACCATGAAACCCCTTTAAAACATTTATTTTCTTAAAAATTTTTTATTCAATTACAAAAATATAAGTATACTCACTAAATAACAGGTGACCACGTATATTATATCAAAACTCGGATTTACAAATGTTACAAATACACATTTAATCAGTCAAGAACAAAAACTTTTAATTTGAGATGTAAAGCTCGGAATAAAAAATGTAAAGGGAAAATTACATATATGACGTTTGATTATATGAATAGGAAGGGATTATTTAATAATTTTAAAGAAACTCAGCCACATACATGCAAAACAAATGGTTTGATAAATATTTTTGTTTATTTATTTTCAAAATAAATACCGGTACTTATCTTAATTATCAATTTCATTTTAATTATTAAAATAAAATCGGTAGAGGAAAGTCTAATAATTATATAAAGGTCAGAGTGTTTTCACTTGTCCACCATTCTAAAGCACAAAAAAGTTAATTTACCGTATTTCCTCTAAAATAAGCCCCGGGGCTTATTTTAGAGGGAGGGGGGGGGGGTATTATTATTCCTAATTATAAATATAATTTTAGGATCATTTGAACACAAAATAAATATTTGCGTTAAACCTGGTTTAGCAAATATAAAACAATTATCATACTGTATTTACATCGAATACAACATAGTAGGAGAGTCGAATAAGAAAACAGAATTTGTTGGAACACAAGAAATTGGAGCTGTAAATGATTGCAAAATACAAAAATTTAAAACTGACATGTTTATAGAAAATATTCGATTCATTGTTGTTTGGAGTAAAAATATATTTTTTGGGAAGGACGATGTTATATATGAGGTTGGAAAGAAAATTAAAAAATATTTTTAATTTTAATTTTTAGAGTCATTTCAGCGTTAAAAACGAAGAATTAGTGTCTAATGGTACAATTACATTAGATATAAAGACTATCGAAAGAACTACTCTTAAACATGATAGAAAGACTGTTTATTGAAGAAAGTAATCCGAAAGAGAAATTGATATTTTAGAGAATTTTTTGATTTTTAAATTTTTTGGTTTTCAAGGGTTTCTGAGTGTTTTTTTTAACTATGAGGGGGAGGGGGTATTTTTGGATCAATTCTGACCTTTAATTTCTTAACTACATACAAAAGTGATGGGAAAGTTTTGCATTTTATTGGAAAAAGCGGAAAGAAATGAATTCCTCAATTTTTTACTTTTCGAAGATTTTATTCAAACTAGAGACCGGCGCGGGTCAAATCCCGACGGGATTTTCCGGAATCCCGAAATCCCGGATTTTTTTGAGTTTCGGGATCCGGGATTTTTTCAGGATTTATCCCCCGGGATCCTGTCCCGGCATCGGTTAAGAAAAAATTCCGACTCGGAATCCCGGAAGTTCGATTTTGCCGGTCTCTAATTTAAACAATTCTTTTTGAGATTTTATTTATTCTAAACTTCATTCTGTTATTATTTTATCATAATCTTTATTTAAAATTTTGGATTATTTTTATTTAAATTTTTATTTTCTAATAGATTCGAGGTTTTGTTTACTAATAGATCTAAATTTTCCATCAATCACGTACTTTTTTGATTTGCGATATGCGAAATTTATCCTCGGAATCCTGAGCCAGAAAAGTTTTTAACAATCCCATAAACGGAATCTAAACATTACCAGAAACTTTGAAATCGTTCGATTTTTAATGAAAAATACAAAATTAAAAAATAACGATTTTGTATTTTTTATAAAAAATGATTTTTTACTCGGCCTTCTGAAATTCCCAAAATTTTTGCTTATTGTTAAGGTGCTAAAAGGGACTCATTCTGGGGTAATGACTTGTAAAAATACAAAAAGGGGATAAATTTTGATTTATTTATTTTGACGGTACTTATTTCCTTCCCCCCTCCCTCCTCCTCATTCTGGGATTTAGTTAAGATTTAGTTAAAGTACCACAAGCAAAATTTTTAAACTTATGCAAGGAAAAAATGACTGACCTTTTCGTCTTTAACTAAATCGCGGACTGGGGCGTAAGGAAATAAGTACCATTTTTGACTTCTTGGTATTTATACGTTATGCATTATTTTTTTATTCAGGCACATCTCTGTCTTCAAGGGCTTTATTTTCCAAATTATTTGATTATTTAAAATTTTTAGTTTTAAAGTATAAATTTAGTTTAGCTGTATTTTTGACAGAATTGAGGTCTTAGATTTAATGAATTTTTAAATACCGTATTCCGGTATTCTTTTTAAAATTGTGTTGAATGGTTAAAAAAATAATATTTTGATAAAATTAAATTAATTTAAATTAAAAATCAACTAAATATAATTCTAAAAAAATAAAAATATGAAATCCAATTTTTTATCAAATTTTTTTAATTTTTCCAATTGTTGAAATATTATGCCTTCTTTTTCTAGTCAAGTTTTTAAACCAACAACGTACTCCCTACAAGTGGTGGACGCAAGAGACAATCTCAAAAAACGCAAATAACACAAAACGCAAGAATGCAAAATTGGAGAAAAAAAATTTTAAATTAAGTAGTAGCCATTTTTCAATTGAAGTATTACTACATATAAGTCAGCGAGTCCTACTCGATTTTGAGATACATGTAAGTTGGATGGGTAATGATTTGGAGAGATATCTGAGATACAAGGGATTATGAAGGATATCAAAGGATTTAGCGGTATCAAGGGATTACGGAGATTATCATATAATTTGTCGGGATCAAGGAGGTTTAAAAAGATACAATGGGAGACGGATGTCGGATCAGTTTGGAAGATAGCGGAGGATAAAGGGCTATAAGTTATAAATTTATATTAGTTATGAATTTATACTAGGGATATCAGGAGATTAGGACGCAAAACGCAAAAAAAAGGCACACCCCTGCTCCCCATAATAAAATTTTATTTTAGACAAGAAAAATATTATTCAGAATTTAGAGAGTAGAAGGCCTATGAAGCAGTGATGTCAAAGTTCCAGTTCCGGAACTAATTAGTTCAAGTTCCAGTTCCAGAACTAGAACTACGGAACTAACGATTATCTGGAACTAGTTTGGAACTAGAACTACGGAACTAATAAACGTCTGGAACTAGTTTGGAACTAGAACTACGGAACTAATAAACGCCTGAAACTAGCTTGGAACTAGTTCTGGAACTAGTTCTTGGGGCCTAATTGCGATCATTACAAAAATTGCGATCATTACAAAAAAAAGAAAGTTTATCTAATAAAAAGTGAAGCGGCCGATAACAGCTCGGTTCCGCTTGGTGATAAAACTAATTGAAAAGAGAAGCGAATTTGAATAATGAATAGCTGCCGCTTGATTCTTTAAAGCTTTTAAAGCAAAAACCATTGAATTTAAGGGAACATCGAAAAAATTTGAAAAAATTAAAAGAATTATAGACGAGAAAAAAAAATTAGAGGCAGCCTAAAGAAAAAGATTTAACAATAAAATAGACTGAAAATAAGCCGAAGAAAAATGGAATAATTCCAAATTAAGGTCCGTTTTTTGTTCCCACCCAAAAAGATACACTGCTCCACAAAAGTATAGCGCCACCCCTATTTTTCTCGGTTTCAATACTGTAACCATAGTTTTTATTTTTAAACTTTTTTGTAATGATTAATAGTTGTCTTAAATCTGGTTTGTAAAAAAATTTAGTTAACAAATCAATTTTTTCAATAGTTATAGGCAAATCACTAGTTTTAGGGTTCCACAAAAGTATAGCGCCACTTTGAAATTTCGGGTTTCTAACATTAAGAAAAATCTACAAAAATTTAATCTAGCATATTTATCGATTCTAAGAAAAAATCAAAAAGAATTAGACCCATATCTAACTTCAGTGTCGAGATCCAGATACCTCGAAAATCAACGTAAATGGAGGGTAAGGCTATTTAAAAAATATTTTCGACCCCTTAGGGTTTGTTTTAAATTTTTAATTTGGGCTCATTTGAAAGCCCTTAAAATTTGCTACAAGATAGCATAAGTCTTATTTTCTAGAAAAATTATTTCTTTAAGTTACTAAGTTTTAAATGTCTAAAACACAAAAAACGCCCAAATGCCCCATGAAATTAGCTCCGGAAGATTAACGTCCTGTATATCTCTATTGAATTTTTTCTGAGATATATGAGCATTACCATCTTGTAGCAAATTTTAAGGGCTTTCAAATGAGCCCAAATTGAAAATTTAAAACAAACCCTAAGGGGTCGAAAATATTTTTTAAATAGCCTTACCCTCCATTTACGTTGATTTTCGAGGTATCTGGATCTCGACACTGAAGTTAGATATGGGTCTAATTCTTTTTGATTTTTTCTTAGAATCGATAAATATGCTAGATTAAATTTTTGTAGATTTTTCTTAATGTTAGAAACCCGAAATTTCAAAGTGGCGCTATACTTTTGTGGAACCCTAAAACTAGTGATTTGCCTATAACTATTGAAAAAATTGATTTGTTAACTAAATTTTTTTACAAACCAGATTTAAGACAACTATTAATCATTACAAAAAAGTTTAAAAATAAAAACTATGGTTACAGTATTGAAACCGAGAAAAATAGGGGTGGCGCTATACTTTTGTGGAGCAGTGTATAGTCTGTTTTGTAAAATTTCTAATATCCCAATGTTTTTGCATGCATTCCCCTCTTTTTAGAAAAATATTTTAGATATCCCGTTAAAAACTACCCCCCCCCCTCTAAAAAAGAAAATTATTCGTCATAATATTCATCGTCATGGATTCTCTCTTCATGGGGTCCATTATAAGTTTCTACCTCATGCGTAAACATGTCTGGATCCCCAAGAAGATAACGTTGCGATCCACCAGAATAGCTGCCTCTATATGCATCTAATTGACTTTCAACAATTTGTTGATTATAATGCGCTAATTCCTCCTTCTGTTTCAACTCATTTACACGGTTAATCATCTCTTGTGGAAAGACATTTTTATTCTCAATTGAGTTATACAGATCCATAATGATTCTAGTTTGCTCATTAACAAATGTTATCGATGTTCCTTTATTTATTAAATATAGATTAAAAACTTTAAAATTAGAGATCGGACTGAATCCTAATCCTGCTTTTTCTTGGATTCTAAGTTAAGCTCAAGGCAGTTTTTGAGTTTCACGAATTTATTTTGATAATGATTTTTTCTTGACCAGGGTTAAGTATAAAAATCGAAATTTAATAAAAAAACCGGGTCCAAGAACCGTGAAACAGGTTCTGAAAGTTGAGAGTGAGGGACCCGGACCGGGAAAACTGGGAATTTTCCTCCCCGTTTGCTTCAAAGAAACAGGGAAAAAGGACCCGAAAACCCGTTCCGTCTCTAGTTAAGTAGTGTCAAGGTATCAAATTAAACCGAGAGTCGAGTACAGATCAAATCCTTACTAGTACTAAAATGATATTATTTGATTTGAAAAGATTAATGGTGTTATTAAGTTATTTGAGGAGTAAAGGGGATGGATATTGTAAGAGGAAACTATGTGAATTAGCACCCAATAATACCAAAGTATAAACCCTACGCGTTATAATCTTATCCACAATTACAAAATAATATCAAAGCCTGATTGATAAACCTTGATTTTCCTCGACTAAGGTCGTCAATTACGATCGGATAAAGATCAAGTTTTTCAAAAGCCTATATAGTATCTAAATAATATTAAATAACCTTCTCGACCCACTCGCGCAGTACGTCCAATACGGTGAACATAATTTTGATATGCTAAAATGAGTACATATTTAAAAAAATTGGCGTCTGGCATAGTGCGCTCCAGTCGAAAATTCTGGCGCACAGCCCTGTTGTTGATAATGTTTATATTTTTATATTTTTAGGCGTCGTCGCAAAAGTCGTCGCTTAATTTTCGCGGCGCCTCAGAATCATAAGATGTTTGAAAAAGTATCTACAGCGGAAACCTTAGAAATTTACTGAAGGCAACAGCGATGTGGGTAATTGTCTGCTTATCTTGTGACATTTTTAATATTCCCCAACTCTTTTTTTGCTAAAGCACGTAATAAAA